GTAAACGAATAGTTTTTTTTTACCATATAAAAGCGCAAGTAGCATCCAACATTTACTAACAATATTCGTACATCAATACGTTTGAGCTTCCGGTCATGTAATAACTCAGACAACTCATTAGTTAATTATTAAATTCTTAACTTCCGGTGGTCCAAACGCGACATGRCACATAGATAGATAGATTGATAGACTAAAAGGTAAATGTCAAGTCGACCTAGCCTTCGCCTAGTCCGACTAAAAATAAGTTCCTAAATGACGTTCAGTTTTGGTTTAGGAAAAATAGATCAATTGAACAGTCTTTAATCGTCTATAAGAAGTCTTTTCCCCGTCCAAATGCGAGCGCCTGCTGTTTTAGTACACAACAGACTTACTAACAACAATCTCGTACCCAGAGCCCATGTAACTTTTGGTCTGCGACAAAGAACTGTTTTTCGTCGAGCTTGAGCAGTAAGAGGGACAGGGGCGCTGGGTTCGAAATTGACTTGTGTGACCCGAATAATGTCTTTAATCTCTTTTCCCAAACGTGAAAAGCCTTTTTAAGGAATACCAATAACGTTTGTATAATTGTATTTATTGTAACTAAGAAAGAAAAAATGTGGTTGACTTTTCTCCGATTTGAGGCTAAGTCAACCGTATCACGGCCCACAAGACCTATGAGTTTGAGCCATCTGTGAATACAGACTTAGCCCTCGAATCGGAGAAAATGCAAATTTGTGGGCGTTATGTTAATGACAACATATACCTTGCCTTCACGGAGTATCCACTATGTTTAGAGTCGGACTGTTGTCAACAAAAAAAAAAACAACAAAAAACAAAAAACAAAAAAACTCTGTTACGGAATGTCACGAAAAACTATATGTCCGCGAGTGTCAAAATAATTTTACAAAATCTAAATGAGAAGTAAATCCAGTCTAGTGCTAAAAAGTCAGGCTACCGTTGACATTCACTTCACAWCCATGGACAGACTCCCAGACAGAACTGTCATGGAAGCATAATGCTCCAGAGTCAAAATATTTTGGGATGTCCATCTACTCTTA